CTCTATACGACCAGTGGTTGCCAAGATATTACAATCACGCAAAGTTGAGGTCAAAGGTAAAAAACGCAATTTCCGGTAATTTCTAGAGAAAATTGTCCATTATAGTAAATATAAATATGCATGTTTTAAACATTTTGCTGCAAAAAGCAACTCTGTACGACCAGTGGTTTTCAAGATATAGCTCCCTATATTTCCACCCCTAATTTGCATATTTATGCTAATAAGGTCGGCAAAATGGCACTTCCGGTCATTTTTGAAGAAAATGTTCTATTAGGGTAAATAGAAACATGCATGTTTAGAACAACTTTAAGAAAGAAGCAACTTTCTACGACATGTGGTTACCAAGATATAAGTACCCTACATTTTCAGACCTAATTTGCATATTTCAGCTAATTTGCATATGAAGATGAGCGTAAAAAAATTGGCGACTCATTTTATTCGATTCAGCATACTTCAAAGTATATAATTAAAAAACAAAAACAAAATGATCACGAAATTCCCACGGGATGACATAAGCCACCGGACTATTACCTGAATGTTCAAATTGGAGATGATAGCAGAATGAGTGTGGTAGGAATAAGCAGAAACGTTCAAAGAAAATTCATGAAAGAAAAGAAAAATTATGTACAATTAATGAAATGAAACACACAATATAAATTTAGCATCAAGGCTATATATTTAAAGACACTGTATTCAATACAAAAGTATTGTATTTTAATTATACATGTATTCAATACTGTATAATTAAAATACAATACTGTACAGTTTACATTATTTGCATGTTTTATATTCACATGGTAATTTCAATAATACTGTGTTACAGGTAATTGACCTGAATTACACTATTATAGGGATAGTCTTGTGTCATTTAACTTTGTTGAGACAGGCCAATATTCAATCCCATTATGCCTGCATAAAATGTAAAAACCCTTAGATTCTAACCCAGTGATTAGCTATAATTAAGCAATATATTCCTACATATGTACTGGAATAATGCACACACTGTGTTGTGTTGTTTTATATTATTGTACCTGGTGTACAACAAAAATAAGTGGGACTTCCACCACTTCCTCTTTAACTATGCAATAATATAAAAACTGTAGAGTATGGATATAAATCTAAGACAGCCTATATCTTTATGTTAATGCTAAGAAGATGGAAGACAGTAATGTAGCATCAAGACAGGCCACAAGTAAGAGATAAGATGAGATTTTAAATGTTTAGATGTGTCTCCTGCATTGATAATTCTGCCACACCTAGCCTAAAGGAGGCCTAGGGGAAGCATTAGCAATTTTCATAGAATCTTGCATTAGGAATACATGTCATTTGGACTTAAAAACAAATACCTAGGCCAATGTTAAATTTAGGGAAATTGTTTGATAGTTGATTCTGTTGGCATACTATTTTTCCCTCTTCTATTCATGTTTCTTAGCTATTTCTTAATTACGCCATCTATTTTCTTGTTTTATTAAAAGAAAATCATTGAAATGAAAAATGGCAAAATGTAAGCTACAGTAAATACAGTATAGTAAACTGTACTTATACAAAATCACAATCATGTACAATACTTTTCATTGTCTACTCGTTTATTTCTCTTCAATCCTTCTTTTTGATCATATAAAATAATTTTTTTATATATTATAAATAATATCTATTGGTTCACTAGACAGGTGTTGGTATTGTATATTATTATTCATCAGATTAATACAATCTTCAATTTAATATAATGTTGTGCCTTAAGCAAATCTACTTATTTCATATTTAATGTGTGCATTATAAATTCACATTACCATATCATTACTTTAACAAATGAAATATACAGTACTGTAGTAGGATTTATACTCACACTTCCTCAAACAGTTGTTATTTGTTTCTTAATGAAACAATTTTTTTTAATGCATGCAGATATTCTAGACTTGAGTACAAAGTAGCAAATAAACATTTAAATTTATTATTATTCCAGACAAAAATGTAAGTAAAGACTCCTATATATTCTTTTCCAATGGGTGTACTAATTTTTTACTTATTATATTTCCAGTAGAAATAAATTCCAACAAGATTGAAGAAAACCCCTTTTTACCATAGTTTCTTAGGCCAGTTGTTCAAAGGTAATTTGATATAATTTAATAATTTGAGAAGCAAAGTGTAAAAACATTTTTAAATGGGATAAATCACTTTTTACTAACAAGGACCTTTCTGAGAAAAGTTCACCCTTGGAATTGGAATGAATTCTGTCACTAATCAGTAAAAAACAAGGAGGGATGAACGGACGCACACAACTTTGATACTATTACTGAGTGTCGGTCAGGCAGAAAAGAGATCTAAAGTGATACCATCTGTTTCTTCGGATGCAATTCTAAGCCCCTTTCCTCAGACTTGGTTTAAACATGCCTCCATGGTTTAAATTAAAAATGGATTTAGAAGGACATAAAAGATAGATTGACCCACCATAAATGAAAACAGTGGCTATAAAAAACATGTGTAAATCAAGGTTCATTAAGCTACAAATTCATTGTCACAGGCGTAAATCTAAAATGATAAGCTTTGCAGAAAACACTTTTACTGTAGTAATAATTAATGCTCTGATTTCGATTAGAATAATATTCATGTTTTATTACATTACAAAAAAAATTCATCTCAAACAGAATAAAAAAAAACTTCTAAAGAACAGAAATGTCCATTGAAAAAGAAAAAAAAAATCTGACAAATTTCTAAGAACACACGACAGAAGGTGGGGTTACTTTTAAAATTATAAATAATCTGTTCTCTTACAGTACAGTAGATACAAATTTCCCTTCTTTCTACACTTTATAACTATATTTGATTTTTGTTCTTTTTATTTTTTAGTTTACATGAAGAGATTTTGTTATTGTGTGCTTAACAGATCCAACACGTGTACATTCCATAAAAAAATTACTATAATATAATAGAAACATAGTATTACAGATAGAAATGGAAAATATTAACAATAACAATTTAGTATTTGTGATATGTTGTAAAACTATGTGTAAAACAGAGCAAGTTTGTTTTATCTCTGAAATTTTAATATATTACAAAGCAGACATGGAAAACTTCAAGTTATTGCCATGTTTTATTGCCATACTACTGTAAACTTAAGTACAATATCCTCACAGCAACACCAAAATTGTAATTCTAAATTTTAATCACATGAGTAATACTAATTGCTTTAACATGACTTCTTAATCCCTTGATATCAATGTTATGGAATTTAAATCAAGAAAATTACTTCTTGACTAAATTGTAAAACCAGAAGCCTTCAAGGGAACACTCTTACTGTACAAATAGTAATCAATTGTCAGCAATCAAGATGTACTTTTAAGCAACTTTGAGTCTTTAAATGTGTGACAACTATTAATATATTACCTCCTGACCACACTATATAATTAGCTAATAATCTTAAAAAAGTGATGCTTTTTCCTTGTCAATTATTGTAACAAATGCATTTAAATAATAATCTTGCTAAAGTACAGTACAGTAAAAAAGTCTACTGTATAATTTAAGCGAATTGTTTTTCTCTGTGTGTTTCACTGGAAGATGCGGGCATTATTCGATCATTTGAAATGAGCAATTTGATTCAATGTCATTACAGTGATCTGGGGTTTACCAAATTGAACAAGCTGTAAACAAGAAACGAAATATCCTTAAATTGAACTACTGTAAGTATGGGCTAAATTCGGTTGTACAGGACAGATATCAGACAATCAGACTTGAATTTTGGGCCTTCTCGAAAGTATCTGACAGTTACTAGTGACAGTAGGCCTACTATTGTTATTATCGAACCGTGTCTAATCATTCTCAAGTATATATTGCTTTTTTATTACTTCATTCACAGAGAATCTGTAGTGCATTCAATCATAGATCCTACTATAAAGGTCGGTGGTTCCAGGGCTGGAAAGAGCATACAACCCAAAACTGGTAGTCATAGGCATTGCACACATGGAGGCATTTTATATGGGAGAGAAAAAAACATCATTGTTGTGCTTTCATGGTTGGAGGTACAAAACCATTTTTATAATTTGTTTAATACTGTAATTCTAGACAATAATTTTCCTTGTTTTATATTCTTCCTGTAAAATATTTACATGCTTGATGTTAAAAATAATACATATATTAGTAACACTAATAGACTATAGTAGGAAACATTAAAAATATAAATAGATTACAACCATGATTAGGCAACTTTTAGGCCTAAAATCATATGTTTTTTTTTTTAATGACGAAGCTATAGTAAGTACAGTATGATGCATTACAGTGCTATAAAGAATTTATCGAGTATTTGAAGATTAAGAATTCAAGTTGAAGAAATGAAATAGAAATCATTAATTTAGTTAAATCTAAATAATGCTTACAAAAACATTTTAAAATTCTGATACCCCAATGTGCCTCACAAAGAAAAAATTAAAGAAGTGTAAATTAATACATTTTGTTATGTTGAAAAACATATTTAAAAGCATGTAATTATAAAATATACAATTCATTTTATAAATATAATACACACCGATATGAACTCTATCCGATATTCAATTAAATACTTAATTTACCTGGTGTACTTGGTATATCTGGTGAGTGATATCTAATCCAACACTGCTACAATTTTGATATTTTACCATTATTGTTCACTCCCGTCCAAATAATTTATGTCGCTCACTGTTCGATACATCTACCGTATATGAGAACAACTCAGCTTTAATAAAATAATCTAATAAAACAGTAATGATATGCAGTGGTATCGATAAATACATAAAGCATGACTGTTTCAGGGATACCCTCCCAAGTGAGTCACTAACACCTGGTGGGAAAAAAGCCAGCTTATTATGACGTAAAAACGGATCCATCTAACATAGGGCGGCATCCAACACACGGCGGAAGAACTGCATAGCAAAGCCAATATCAAAGTGCTTATTCTAACAAGCAATTAGATAACAAGGGAATGATTAGTGAAGCAAATAAGGCTCACAATATAATTAGATACATGTTATTTATTAACAAACAGCGATTAATTATTAATATTGATCAAGAACAGTGTGAATACTTCATTGCTTGAATTACTTTGAGGTATTTTAAATTTGTTTTTATATCACCTTTGATATATAAATATTTAAAATGTAATATTTAACATTAATTAGTATAAAATTTTAACTATACCATAGGTATAAAGTAAAAATAATTAAACAATTCAATAGTATAATAGCACATTTTTATAAGTCAACACTGATAAAGAATACATGGAAAGTTATTTCAGGTCATGCATACAGTACAGTATTTTCAAAATTGTTTACTGTTTTCTGTACAAGAAACTAATACTACTGTACAGTGCAAGCTAAAATTATCTGTACTTATTGTGACATATATTTTAATTCTGAATGTTATTATTCAAATTAGTTTACTACACTAGTTTTATCCATTAGAATAGCACCCCCATAACAAGCTGACACAGTTCAAAAAGGAATATCTCTCGGCCAAAAAAACCTGATATTTCTTGCTTTAATGTAAGTTTTACAGTATGTCAATTAATTGGTTGAAACATTTTGTTTTTAGGTTATAAAGCAACATTTTATTTTATTTTTGAAGACTTTTTAACATAATTTTAAGTGTTTTTGTAGTTA